TATTGTATGAAAAAGGTGAAGAAAACCATCATTTACAGAATTACATGGGGAGCTTCTATGAAGATAACGAACAATAATCACACTCGATAAATACAGGAAAGAATACATATGGTTATGCCTTTCAAAATTTGCTCCTATTTAAATCTATACTAAAACAAAGTCTAACATTCCCAATATTTTACTAAGCGGTAACAAAAATCGGTTTGACCGCAGAGTGAGATATTGGACCTGTCGATGAGACATTGGGTGGGATCAGCAAAATCTTACTTGCATTCGATGGTGTTCGACAGTGACAGAATTGACAGACTTTTACCGCAGTGCGGGTTAAGGAAATTAACCTTATGGAAGCCAGCACAAGATACATATATGTCAAAAAAACAAAAGATATAACAAAACATTTATTGACTACGTTCTCTCTCTATGCCAAAATGCGTTTTGTGAACCCCACGAACCAAACTGTTTGCCTTCGGCCTAACGACCTCAGACAAACATATTGGTTCTTTGGTCCGGCAAAACGCATGTTGCCCTCGAACCGAGTCAATAAATGTATATTGTGAACACGGACCCTTGGAAACAAATCATTAACTATAGTAAACTTTAGATTACATCTGATAAACCTAGTCTATCAACTGTAAAACCCTGTTTAGCTTATTTTCTTGTGAATTTGATGTGCCATGCGATAGACAAAATAATGCTTATCTGGCTAAGATAACCAGATCGTAGTTGTTTCGAGAGGGAATAGATTATTTCTGGTTTTTGTACTTACTTCAAGATCGGTTTCGGCCATTATATATATATATATATATATATATATATATATATATATATATATATATATATATATATATATATATATATATATATATATATATATATATATATATATATTATTCGAAGGTTCAAATTTCCCTTAAATGTCACATGAAAATTAAGTGAAAATTAGATCTTTTTTGTTTGGCGTCAAGTACAGGGAAAAGTTTTAACCATCTGATTTATTCTTTGTCAGTTTACAATAGACAGGGAAGATGGTATTCTTTCCTTGCACATACGTATTTTTATGTACTACATGAGTAGAAATGACCTTACTTTTGTTATAATTGAATAAATACATAAATGTTTATGGACGATTTAAATAGATAACATAAATGTTATTTTGATCACTTTATACAAGGTTCAAGTTCAATTTATTACACTCAAAACATACATGATAGAACACGAGGAACTTAAAAAATAAATTAAAACTTGACACCAGAAACATATATCAAATAAAATTTGGTTGCTATGTGTCTTGGTTGCCATGGTACAGCCAGAAAAGTTTGAAAAATTTGAGATTTTCAGCTATATTGAATCTTTTTAAACCTGAATAAAGACTTAACAATCAAGCAAACCATTCTTTGACACATAGAGAAATTATTTAGAATATATACATGTATTTAAGTAAGTGGTACCCATTGGTACATTTGTAATACATTTTAAATTCTGAAAAATGCTGGAAAAACTCTAAATATTCACCAGTGATAGGTGTTACATGATCAAACTCAATCAATAACCCGAGAATAAATATACATTTATTGACTGGGTTCGAGGGCAACATGCGTTTTGTCAGACCCAAGAACCAATCTGTTTGCCAGAGACCGTTAGGCCGAAGGCAAACAGTTTGTTTCGAGGGGTCGACAAAACGCATTTTGACCGAAAATCCAGTCAATAAATGTTTTGTTATACCTTTTATTTAATTATTTATTTTTTTTATTATACATGTATCTTTTGCTGGCTTCCATAATAACGATTGCAAATAAGATTTAGCTGATCCCACCCACAGTGTGACGTAAGCGGTCCAATATCTCGTCCACAGATCAGAACACATACATGTAGTATGTATCATGGGGACAGAACATATAGTATGTATCATAGGGACAGAACATATAGTATGTATCATGGAACATAACATATAGTATGTATCATAGGAACAGAACATAAAGTATGACTCATAGGGACAACATATGTAGTATGTATCATAGGGACAGAACATATAGTATGAATCAAAAGTACAAAACATAAAGTATGTATCATAGGGACAGAACATATAGTATGTATCATAGGGACAGAACATATAGTATGTATCATAGATTCAGAAAACATACATATAGTATATATTATAGGAACAGAGCTTATGCTATGTATGATAAGAACAGACCATAGAGTATATATATATATATATATATATATATATATATATATATATATATATATATATATATATATATATATATATATATATATATATATATATATATAAAAGGGGTGTCAACGAGTACCCGGTTAACCGGGTACTCAATCGAACGTCCGAGTATCGAATACTAAAATGGTACTCGGTTACTCGGATGTGTATTTTTTCTTATTTCAAAGTACATATTTTTATCAAAAACTTTTCATAAAATAACTTAAATATGCGCACGGTAATTAGCGTGTCGTCATCTACACCTGTAAAACACCAGTTATCGCCTGTGGCTCTGTATATACAGTAATTAGTGACCAATAATTTGGTACACAGCTGTTCTCTCCTATTGTGGCCCTTAATTTTTGGATGGCTTCAATGATTGTTTTCAGTGAACATCGTTTAAGTATGATCTGTTATCCTCAAATCATTTTTAAATTATTTAGTTAATAAACAACAGCAAAATGCATAACCCACTTCAAAAGTGAATAAATAACTAAATATTCAAAAAGAAAAATGTTGTAAGTCAATTTGCGTAGCAAGTTAAGTGTATTGGGGGCGGGGGGAGGGGGGCGCAACAAATGAAATGATATTAGACTAGCGATCCCAACAACGTCCGTTCCTTCTCTTTCGCTAGTCTAATAATTACAATGCAAACCTGTGTAACAGATTGTCCTAGCTCCTTTTGTGTTAATGAAATAGATCCTAAACAATAACTGTAAACCATTTGTAAATTTTATGTATTAATTGTGTCTTTTGTGCTTATTTGATAAATAAAGAAAGGGGTGTACAAGGCGATGGCGGTCCCCCGCTCTGAGACAATATATTTCTCATTCATCAAAGTTCACTGAAAAGTTATATTTTTCTAAAATAATGTTTCAGTAATGTCATCTTCAACACATTTAATTCAATTATTTTATTGAATGACTTTTTGATTGATTATTTGTTTTTTAAATTGACAGGAAAGCATATTTAGTGGAAAATGGGTTTATTAGAGACATTAAAAATAATTTTGAATATGAATGGGTCAAGTTTCTATTTATAAACTTGATAAAAACAGCTTTGGGGTTAAACAGAGCTTAACGGGGCTCAAGAAAATTAACACACTTGTGTTTACATTTTTACCGAGTACCCGGGTACTCGATCAGAAAAACGTCCGAGTAACCGATTATCAAAAATTGACCGATTTGACATCCCTAATATATATATATATATATATATATATATATATATATATATATATATATATATATATATATATATATATATATATATATATATCATAGGGACAGAACATATATTATATATATCTTAAGGATAGATCATATAGTGTGTATCAGAACGTACATGTAACGTGAAAACTTCCCCTTTTGAAGTCCTACTTAAGTTAACAAGTTAAATGTAAAGAAATTCTTTTTCTTCTTCTTAAATATGAGAAAAGAGGAGCATGCATTTTTAGTTATTAATTAGATATCAAGGCGATTGATTGCTTCTGATTTTATACACATAAATATAAAATGAACAAATTACAAATGGATCATTTGTAAGCTTATTTTGGGAAAAAAACCCTATTTTTTCAAATATTTTTAAAATATATCTGAACCTAAGTAAACAGACTTACCATGTGCTCGATTTATAGGCGATTCCTTGCTCACAATGTAAAGTCGATAGATTTGCAGATCCGTCTTTGGAATTTAAATTGAGTTTTATTAATGTATGTTTGACGTTGCTTGAGGACAAAGAAGATTTGTTTTTAACCTTTCTGACTAGACAGCGTTTGATTTCGTCCATGAATGTAGGTCATTTAAAAGAAATGTTCTGATAATAGAATTAATTTTTATATACGTTTTAATGTGGACATGGACTTCAGAGCGTTAATGCTTACTCTTTTTATTTTTTTTAACTTAACATATGTAATTACCATTTAAATACAAAAGGTGAAGATAACGAAGTTATGTGTTTTTTTAAATAAACAAACATGTGTACATGTAATACACCCAATTGTAATTAAGTCTAACTGCTATTTTACACAGAAATAATTCTTCACTAATTATACAAGAATAATTACCCGATTCTATATACCGACGGGAAATACTGACATCTTGACGCAGACGCATAATTTTTTGAGGAAAAAAAAACACTCTGAAACTTTTTCGAGACAGGCAATTTATGCTTTCACTAGAAAACAAGAATTTAAACAGAATTTCGTACAACCTACTTATGAAACAAGTGAATCCTTAGACTGGGTCACTAGTTGAAAGAGAGATAACTAAGACCAGTTCAGTTCATTTACACACACACGAATGAACAGGATGTTTAAAAATTATGAACATATATACGTTGAATACTAGTAGATGTAGGCATTGCAGAATTATGAGGAAGAATGTCATTGAGGAATATGGAGAACAGTCTAGGTTAATGATTTTTGTAATGAAAAACAGGTTTTTAAATACATAATATAAGTAGATGCCAGAAAGCTGTAGAATTTTTATTTTATCCGTTAAACATCAGATTTTTTTCTTCATATAGCTAATAATGATTCACATTCTAAGTCATAGCGGTATTCATGAAACAAAGGTTGTACCATTGAATGGTATGGAGGCAGGTACATGTATTGGCTATCTGGATTTATATTTTTATTTCAAAAACTTTCTTGATATTAAAAAATGTAAATTGTTTATGTTTGACAAGAAGGGTAATCAAAATTTGAATTATCAATTTCCGTCTTGTTACGAGTTGTAAAGTATAGGACTGCAGTTTACAACTTGGTGACTGGTGACAAAAATAGACCGAAATAGTTACCGATAATAAAACAATAAAACTGAATAGCCTGGGAAATCGAAACTTTACAAATATACATGAAGCCTGATTTTTTCCAGCCCAAGGAACAAAATGGATTCACTAAGGGTAACTTTATCAATAATTTTGATATCAGGTAGGTTTTTTTTCTTCATCGAAATACAACTGAAAACTCTTTTAGAATAAGAATAAAGCATGATAAAAAAAAGAGTGTAAAATAATTTTGACACTCTTTTTTTTTTTTAAATTCATTGTTTTTTCTTCTTCTTTAAATTAAACTCCTTTATAGATTAAAACACAAATCCTTATACCATGCATTTAAAAAAATCCATTGTTGTTTTTCATATCTTGTATAATTTTATTTAAAAGACATTTTCATATTTATAGGTGTTAAAGGTGTACTTATCCAAACAAATGATGTAACACTCGATGTGAACTCCTTCGACATTAGATGCAGCCCTGCCAATAGTGAGATGTTATTACACGTTAATTCTTTCACCTTACACAGAAATGGAACACCTGTCGCTCTGGTGACTTATAACCGAACATCTAAGAGTTCCAATCTGATCATACCTGACGTCACTGACAACAGATTCAGGTAAAAAAAGTTTCTGGATTTTTTTTGTTGGGCACAAGATTGGCGGTCCTGTTAGAGCGTTGACAAAACAATTTTTAAACAATTGAAGAAGTACTTCTAATTTACTATTTTCTTTTTGTGTGTTTTAAGCAGAATAAAATTGATCTTTATATTGTTGTAATATTGAGTATTTTTTGCATGTGTTGCATTTTAATTAGCCCCGTGGAGTTCTTATTTGTGTACATGTATGTTATTACCTAGAAATAATTCTGTATCGAGTGATTTCATATAAATTTCCTATAGGAACAACTTATTATTATTTTAAATTCACAGGTATAATTTGACTGGGAATGTTCACGACGAAAACCCTGCCAATAAGTTCCTGAGGGTAGTTGTCCCTGCTAACCTGACCAGATGTAGAGACGCAGGTAATTACACGTGTGTCCTGAATGGGCGGACTTCTGACGATAGCTCCAACTATGTCGACCAGGCTTCCAGATATGTACGAGTGAAAAGTAAGTTTGCCTTTTCCTCTCAATGTGACATGCTATACCCTCACTATAGAAAATTTTCTGAAGACTTCTCAGGCTTGTTGCCTTGACAATTATTTGCTTTGTGAGGTGTTATTTGACTGATGTTTGGTAAAATCATTGTATCAATGTATGCAAAATATTTTTTCAAGTGAAAGATGTCATTTACTTCTAGAATATTTAGATATAATGTAATGTCTATGTATGCAGCTACTGCGACAGCTATGGATGAAATCTTTACACCACCAACAAACGACAACATGTTAGATCCCTCGGGAGGAGGAAGATTCCTCATTGGAACAACATATCGGTTCACATGTACCGGAATTGTTGGCAATCCTCCGGTGAGCTTGCGCTGGTGTTACAAACAGAGCGGAGAGGGCGGGTTTGCTCCCTTACTAGCGTACACAGCTGAAATATCTGAATCAGAACCAGAAGTCTATCAGGATTGTAACTACAAGAGACAGTCATTCCTTAATTACACCATGACAACACAGGACGTGAACACTGTTCTCTTGTGTGAACCGGAGAGCAGCATGTTCTTCTGTGGTAATGGCGCCCTGAACAAAACATTTGTGGTACGAGCCTTCCCACGAAACAGTGGGACGCTCAATGATGCTGTTCGCTGTCAAATATCAAGTAGTATTTTTATGATGTTTATTTTCAGTGTCGTAAATATTCTATGAGTACGTTGTCATTCTGTACTTTGTTTATATTGTCAAATGTGGAACAGTGTGCAAGGATTGTCTGCAATATCAGGAGTGTAATGAAAAAGGTGAAGATAACGAACAGTGATCGATCTAAAAGAAATCCACAAACAGTATAAATCTGGGAAGAGGGCATAAAACATGAATCCCTGGAAATTTGAGAGATGGGATCAGGTGCCTAGGAGGATTAAGTATCCCCTGTCGACAGGTCACGCCCGTCTAAGAATTGATCAGGTAGACAGGTAGAATGAAGTCGGAGAAAGTCACAAAAAGGTGATATTGATAACGTAGAAAAATAACTGACTTCCGACAACAAAGCAGGCTAGGTCAAATTTTGTATAAAAAGAAAGGCCTAACAATTGATATGGGAAAAATGTCAGCCAAAATACGACACAATGATAGGTTATATTTGCTAACAAGGACATTATAACGTCCATAGAATTTACGAAATGCTAACTTTAATCGAGGCATTTGAAATCCTTGTAACATCAACTTACTTGTCAGAAGCCTGCCTCGGTTTAAAAATCCCCTTATTAATATATGACCATGCTCTTGAGTATAAGTTGGGAGATGTAAACCCCATATGCAGGTGATAGTGGACTATTACTACATAAATAAGGAAAGTTGACGATGGAAAAGGTGAAATCATCTTGTTTGTCATACAGTTTAGTTGTTAATTGGCCATTATCGTCCATAATCACTAAAACATCCAAATATGAAACAGATTTGGCGGACTCTGTGGTGTCTTTTATTTCGAATTCACTGGGGTATATCGAGTCGACATATGAATAGAAATAACTGTTGTTAATTGATGAAACGTCGCCAGTATAGAGTTGAAGGCCACAGCAAGTTTTTTCATCTTCTCATGTAGAAGTTTTTGAATAAATTCTGCTTCATAGGAAAAATATTAAAAACAGGTCCGCTAATAAAGGAGCACAATTAGTTCCCATCGTAAGTTCCAACAGTGTGTTGGAAGACCTGGTCTCCAAAGACTACATAAATGTTGTCAATGAGGAACTCCAACATCTTTTTAATATACTTCAGAATACTTGTGAGCAGAATCAGAGTAATTTTTAACAAAATAATTCTGTTGATGTCCAATCACAAGATATGAAAATTTTCGAGTTCTATTTTTATAGAAGAAGCTGTTCATGATATTAAAAGGCCTAGTTTTTAAGTGTAGAAAAGTTTTTCGTTCTGATGTTATCGACTTTTGAAAAATATCGTGATTCTAAATTTTCTAAAAGTTCTTTGGAATTTTTGAGAATCCATATTTGATTTACACCACTGATAGAATATGCTTTCGCATAGTACATCTGAAGTTTCTCCTTTACAACAGTTAATATTTTTGTGAGGAGTAAAGATAGAGAGCATATGCTGAGCCCCGCAATTTTTCTTTGTAAGGATTTTTATGAAGTCTAGGAAACCAGTATAGGTAGGGTAGATCGAACTCACCTTGGTTGACTCGAATGTTAAAAGTATTAAATACTGAAATGTTATTTTGAAGAATTACACCCTTAGAAAGTGAACTGTGAGTATAAGTTGGATTTTCAGACGTAGAATTAAAATCAAGTTCTTCTAAAATATAGACATAACGATATTTCTTATAAAATAAGATGATATTAATACAAGCCAAGCCTTGTCTACTGAAACATAATATATTGTTCATGTAGTCTTCCTAATTTATACACGTGTATAAATTTTCTAGTTTTTATGCATGAATATCTGATTAGATATCTTAATTTATCCCATGTTTACCCCTTTATCCCGTGGATATGACTCATTGGATAATTTTTTCATATTCCACAGTTAAGTGCAGTTGTGACGTCACAATGGTTTTTGCGTTAGAGTGATGAAGTAAAATGAAGTGGAGTCCTGTATAAACAGTGTAAAACATTCGTTGTGAAGTATTAAACATGGGATAAAAAGAATCTCCCATGATTTGTAGTTGGATATGACTTTTATCCAACTCGTTGTGTGTTTTTATCCCCTCGCCAAGGCTCGGGGATAAAAAAACACACAACTCGTTGGATAAAAATCATATCCAACTACAAATCATGGGAGATCCTATATATATTTGAAACAAATCGAGAATCAAGTGTGCGTGTGTGTAATCTCTGTGTAGCTTTTTTAATTCAATGGTAAAACTTTGTAATTATCAATAAACAATTTACGTCTATATCTCTTTGAAATTACATGATACTGTTTTATTTTTTACTGAGACTTACTAAAACCTGATGAAGTTCTCATCAGAGGGTAAATTCGTTGTATCGTTGACTTTATTTTTTTTTTTCAAGCCACTAGATATCTACTATTTACTTGATTTGTGCTTATTTACATGTATTATAGACAGTCGTTTCTGTAGTAAAATTATATTCCCATAGTATAAGAATAATAAAATCACAAGGCATCTAATGCCAACATTACATGAAGTAAGACAATTTAACGATTATTGCAGTTAAGTTTGCTTTCATAAAACCTCCAGAGCTATAAATTGTATAGAGGATCTTCAATGTTTTGTAGTTGGGTATGGAATTTATTCCACGAGTAGAACATGATTTTTACTTTTATTTTTTTATTTCTTTTATTTTATTTATTTTTTTGTTTTTTTGATATTCTCAGAAGTGCGAAGCACGAGTGAAAATATCTCATGAGTGAAAAAAAATCCATATTCTACTTCAAAACATTAAAATTTTCTGTTTATAATTATGTTTTCTTTGATTTCCCTTTTCCTCTGTCTTTTTGTAACAAATTTCATAGGCTGTGACATTAAAGTTAAACGGTTGAGACGTACCTTAAAATTATACTTGTATGACACAAAATTCGTATCATTCCCAGAAATATAAGTCCAGGTATTTAAAGGTCATTTGACAAATAAGAGGTGAATGCCGCTACTTGTTATGAGCTGTGTGGTGTAGTGGTTAATGTGTCGATCTCTGTGAATAATCTGAACGTCAGGATTTTTGTCGCTTGGGTTCAAATCCTCAGATATACTTTTTTTTCTTTAATCATAGAATACGTTTCAACGAAAGATTTTTTTTTAGGAGAAAGTTTTGGTTGTCATAATATTACACTTTACAATAATTAGAACTTCGCTTTAAATATCAAATTCACAAATTGAATTTAATTTTTATACCTTTGAAGTTATGTCCATTTTGCTCGTCTTGTTGGCCCATATTCCTTAGGTTAGCTTTACTTTGCGAAGAAATACTGTACTCAGAAATGTATTGAGGCGTTCGTGATAGTGAGATGTTAATGATTTTTAATTTATTTGAAGTAAGCAAAGTTTAAACTTAAACCTAGATTCTGTATACGGTTTAAACTCTAAATTTTGCGTGCAAATATTTAAAAAATATTATTTAATGAACTATTTCATTTCACATTAAGTGAGAAAATCAAGGTTCTGTTTATCAAATGTTTGCTTTGTTCTGGTTCTATATTTAAACAAAAAAAAAAAAGAGACTTAGCTCGATCTACTTATCTCAAACAATCTAAACTTAAATGCCATGAAATGAAAAAGTTTCCTGGTTACATCAGGTGGGAATGAACAGAGACCCCTCTCTTTACTCTCTGTTTCCGCTTCTTTTCACTTTTTCTGTCCGGCACACTTTATGGTGATGTGGAATTTGCTGTAACTTTGAATATTTTTGTTTCATTTCTTCTTCTTAATTTGTCATGAAGTATTTACTGCTTTTTCTTTGCTGCTGGGCATAGTGATATCGTTATTTTAAAACTGCAAAGTTGAGCGTCTTTCGAATTCCACGTGAAAATACTATAGTAATTGATTCTCCAGGAAAATATTCGTCCGTTCGTCTCATCGGTTTCCAACATGCTTGATTGAGATCATAATTCGAAACAGAAATACAGTGACGATGCTTTTATTTTCTCTCTTTACCTCTGGGTTTACATCATTTAGGAGAAAACAATGATATCATTATCTAATATTTCCTTATAGAAGTTGTACAAACCTTTTTTTTTTACTTTATATAGGAGATTGCACAGATTCTTTCAAAGCTAGCTGTTAGCAATGCGACATCGGTACACGTACTCTACTATCCTCCTATAAAACAAAATGATTTGATTTCATAAATAAAATTGCATGGTTCGGTAAATATAACCGCAGTTTTGGAGATTACCTCATACTGATATCGATAGCACATGCTAAGCTTGAATTTCCTTTGCTTTTATGTAGGTATACACTCAGTACATGACAACATTAAATGTATGTACCTATTTACATACTATGAACAAACCCTAACAAAAATTTATTAAAGTTAACTATAGTCAATACTTTGATACTTTGATTAACTATGAAACTTTACTTCAGAACATTGGGGGGGGGGGGGGGGGGTTAGTGCTTAAAATCTCTTACAATGAATAACAATGAATAAGAGAGCACAAAATATAACAATCCCAAGTAAAAACTTTAATTTACTATAGTAAATCCTTTGATTCACTAGAGTAAAAACTTTGATTTACTAGAGTAAACTACTAACTACCTATACTAAGAAAATAATGATCTAACAATTTGTATGAAAAACAAAAATGATGATCTAACAATTTGTATGAAAAACGTCAGTCAACATTCGACTTAACTACAGATTGTATTTTCTAACAAAGTCATTGTATCTACCATAGAATTTCCAAAATGTTGGCTTTAAACAAGACTGCTGATATTCTTGTATCATCAACTTATTTTTCAATAGGTTGTTTTTCCCTCGTTTTAAAAATTATTCTTACGTAGAACATGTTCTTGCATACTGGGAGACATGAACTCATTATGTAGGTGATAACGGTGTATTGCTACATAAATAAGCGAGGCTGACGTTAGAAAAGATGACGGTTATCATGTCATCAATGGTCTTTCTCTGGGATATAGCGAATCATCATTTTCATTACAACTGTATTTAATTCGTTGAAAATCATTATAATCATTGTATATATCACAGGGAAATGTTTATCTAAGTTGTAAGAACTTGTAACCAATCCTGTTATATTAATTATACAATAAAATAACTATGTTTAAAACAACCAACGTAGAAATGAAATGATTATTGATGATTGATAAAACGTCGTAAATATATATCAAAATGTCGAATTGGAAGATTCTTCTTCTCGTGTAGACTTTTTGAAATAAATAAATTTTTGCTTCATATGAATACAGAAACAGGCCTGATTATAACGGGGGACAATAAGCACCCATAGGATTCTATAAGAGTGCTGGAAGACCTGCTGGTCTCCAAAAGCTACATAGATATTGTCAATCAGAAACTCAAACATCCTTTTAATATTAACGTTGGAGGACTTAAATAAGTTTGACGATCACCATTGACAAGGTATGTGAGTTTACGAGTTCCATTTTTATTGAAAAAGATGATTGATTGACTGTTCTTTTACGCCCCATTCGAGAATTTTTTACTCATATACTGACGTCACCATATACCGGTATGGGACTTCAAATTTTGACCTTTACTCGGCACTCAGGGCCATTGAGCAGTGAAGGTTCTTTATTGTGCCAACGCCTGCTGTGACACGGGGCCTCGGTTTTTAAGGTCTCATCCGAAACCAGCAGCTTTCACTCCAGAGTGGAGAGCGCATGGCGAAGGAACAGTTGCTACTTATTTTTTCTCGACTTAGGTCAGTCGCGGCCGAGATTCGAACTCACGACCTTCCAATCACGGAGCGAGCGCTCTACCGACTAAGCTACCGTGAACGGTATATTGAAAAAAATGAGAAGTTGTCTATAATGTCAAAAAGCCTGGACTTTTAATTTATCGCGGGAAAAGTTTTTTTTAAGTGTTGGAAAGTTATACGTTTTGATGCCATTGATTTTGGTTAAATTTTGTGATTTCAAATTTTCTCAAAGTTTCTCTGAGTTTTTAAGTATCCACATCAGATTAACACCATTTCTCAAATATGTTGTTGTGCAATACTCCTGAAGTTTCTCATTCACTGCTTTCAAAATATTGTAAGGAAAAAAGAATGAAGCTTCGCAGCGCAGTTAAGGCTACAAAAAGGGGGCGGAGCCTAATTTGTACGGGAAATATTAACTATGACACCATACAAAACCAACAATTCTTTAAAATATCACAAAATGAGATGATCTGCTATTTTAAACTGTAGGAGACCATCAAACTACATCAAAACTTCTTTTTTTCCTGGATGGGAATGGGAACACAGACCCCCGAAATACAATACGTATAACATAACACATCAGGTATCAAAATAAAGTTGCTAACATGTAAAGAGAAAACGTCAATTAATTAGTGAGATTGAGATTTAATTTGAAGGGAAAGAAAGGACGGGGGGGGGGGGGGAAGTATATCTACTTCTGCTCCTAAACCAACTGCGGGATTTTTATCAAAGTATTTATCCTTGCTATATGCCTGTAATTGTCGGTAGAAACTATGATATATTATTGTAATTAAAAATAAAATTAAAAATTGAATTCCCCGCGCTTTCGCGGGATTTCATTTCGTTACTTCATAAATAAGGAAAGTTTACAATGGAAAAGCTCAAGTCGTCTCGTTTTTCGTGCAATTTAGTTTTTATTTTAACTTTATCGTCTATATTAAAACATCCAAATATGAAACAGATGTGGCAGATTCTGTGGTTTCTTTTATTTTGAGTCGAATGGAAGTCTCGTAACTATTGTGAATTGATTAAACGTCGTTAGTATATATCTGAATGTCGAACTGAAGGCCACAGATCGTGTTTTCTTCTTATGCAGAAGCTTTTGAATAAATTCTGCTTCATAGGAATAATAAAACAGGTTATCTAATAGAGGATTACAATTAGTGCCCATCGGAAATTCCAACAGTTTGTTGGAAGACCTGGTCTCCGAAGATTACATAATTGTTGTCAAAGGGGAACTACAGCATTCTTTTAATATTTAACTTCAGAGTACTTACCTGTGTAGAATCAGAGTGATTTTTAACAAAGTAACTTTGTTGATTACCGATCACAAAATATGAAAATTTCGAGTTTCATTTTTATTGAAGAAGCAGTTGTCTAGGATATCAAAAAGTCTCATTTCTAATTAATCGTGAGGAATGTTTGCACCATAGACCTAAAGCTTTGCTTCAGGTCTTTGTTTGCACAAAGTGTAGAAAGGCCATACGTTTTGATGTTACTTACTAATGAAAAAATATATAATTTTGAATTTTCTTTAAGTTCATTGGAGTTTTTGAGAATACACTTTATTTACGCCGCTTTTTGAATATGCTATAGCACAGTGCGTCTGAAGTTTCTCCTTTACAATATTTGTGAAACTTTTGACGCCAGTTGAAAGATTGACTCTGTGTACACTCGTCTCTGTGTATTGTTAAAAAGCCCCATCTGCGCTCTTATGTAGACTCGATTGATTCCCAAAACTATTGATATTCTCATCGCAACCAGAATTTCTTTTTAAAGAAGTTTTTACAAGTTTTTTTTAAGTTTCAAAATCTAATTGTCCTGAATTTCTTTAATTTGCAGTGCATGTATTCCCCAAATAGTAAATGGTTCTGTTGACCGTTGAAGACTGACATCCGAACATACTGTAATCTATTTTTGTGAGTTAATATTCTAATTTATCCAAATAACCTTTGTTTGAATTACAGATTCTCTAGTTTCAACTTAAAAATAACATTTTTTTTTTTTAAATTATTATTATTTTTGCAGAGTAACACCACTTTAAATGACATAGGCAACGAAGATAACTTATTTGAAGTAAAATTAATTTGTGTAATTTCACTGTATTCCTAAAAATCTATCCACTGAGTTAAGATTTGTGCACACGTACATAAAACATACTCAGGGATACAACAGGGATAGAATTGATCAGTTGAGGTATTCAAGCTTATCAACTGGTTATGTTGTTATGGGCTCAAAGAAAAAAAAAATAAATCTACTGTATAAAAATGGATCTCAAACATATAACAATGAAGGAATAAAGAACTTTTTTTATGATGGATTCGTTTTGAATTATAAGCAGAAATGAAAGTAATTAAAATAACTGACAATTTTAATTTTATAAAATACCATCTTCACAATGTCAGGGGTCCCGAGTCAACACGTTTCCGTGTGACGTTGTGAGGATGATGAAATACAAGAATTTTGTTTTTGTGTATTTCTTATGTAGACATTCAAGTATTCTTAAACTTGAGTTGTTGTAGATATCAATATATATTTTTAAATTTCAGAATTTTTAGATATAATCCCAACAAGTCAAATACAAAATGTTGATCAAACTGTGATGATAAAACTCTTTCTGTAACACTTATAACAAGTAATATTGTAATGAAAAATTAGGATTTAACTGTTCTTTTCTGGTTAGTCAACACACTAAAGACATCAGTTTTATAAAAAATAATTTGGAAAGGTGTACATTGAAAGATTTCACTCCAATATCACATATGGTTAGCAACAAATCTGCAAGATATATCAATGCGATTAAAACAGTCTTATGTTAAGATCACAAAATTTGAAAACGATCTGTAATGTAATCTAAAAAAAAGATAAAGTAAGCTGATAGACGAATTTCAACCATCTCGGTGTTTGAAAAGTAATTTCTCATACACTTTGTATTTTTCACTTGAAAACTGAAACTCTTACAAAAATATATATTTCATTCCGAGAAAAGTCTGAAATAGAATTCATGGATAATGATACCATCGTGATTTAAGTGGAAAGTAATGATATGTTAAACTTGAAAAAGTGGAATGGAAAGGTATCTTAATTAATTTCCGAGTGTCATTGCTTGTTGGTCAAAGGGTGATCAAGGAGTGTGTATAATTAATTAGCACAATGTCATACACTCACACGACTTTCAATATATAAACAGAGGGGGTAAAATAGAAAAGCCATGCAAGTATCTACAGATGGCCGTATCTACCTGTGGCTAGGTCCTTATCAACATTTACAACGTATTGTTATTTACCTATCTGTCCCAGGGCTCTAGATGGTTGGAAAATGAAGTCATTGGTATAGTGTTTTCCATATTCATTTACTGTGGGTAGAGGACATACCTGGATAATATTTAAGCTGCTTGAGTGGACATAAAAGACTTCAAGGTATTCATTGTTTTATTTTTTTTTTTTTTCAGAAAAAAAAGCAATGAATTGAGGAAGACTTTTTTAAAATGGGTAATAATTATCTTGTTACATGAGGGTGTCTGGACGTCAGTTGTGATTTCTTCACAAGATATTTTTAATACAGGAGTTTAGATAAAACCTATGAAAAATCAATATTTCACTCTGATTTGTACAACTTCCTGGATAAGTGGAGGTATGTTTTATATAATTTATTTCATATTGAACCTAAGATTTATGAATCTAGTCATTATTTGGTAAATGAGTAAAATCTCATTCAATTAGAATATGAATTAAAGAAGTTTATTATTAGAAATGATAAAAAAAATCATAAAACGAAATATCCTATTAAAAATACACATTCAAATTTTGTATATAGGGTGAAAGTAAAAGCTATCATTAACTGTGTGCCGAATAACAAATCGGGAAACCCCATTAACGTAATATTGCACAGTGATGTTAACGTGCACCATATCGGGTCGTTAATAGCAATGTTCTTTACACATGTTATGCACACAGAGTTCTTTACTTGTTAACACGACTTGAGGACAAGCGAAGGATACGCCTGTTTTGACCTTCCTTAACCCCATGTCAGAAAATAACATTAAGTATGACAATTAAGCACTGACCATTGGTATATGTAGTTGACTGGTTAAGTGTCTACCAATTGCAAATTTATGCTAGATTTTCAAAACAAATAAAAAATTAAGCCTTTTTTTTACCCAAGTAGATGTTTGAAACTTTAATACACCATAAATATATATTATCATAGTATATGATCAGTAAATGACCATGTGGTTTTTATTTTCTACCTAGATGATCCTATTCGGACACAAACTTTATGGCCTGTTTTCTTTTATGTCTAAAGCGATTATGTTACTTAGAATAAGAATAAAGCCTACTTTTTCTTTAAAGTCACATCATGAAATACATGTATAAAAAAATTTCAAAAAGTATTTTTAATAAAAAAAAAGTCCTTTTAACTCTAAAAACAATGCATTTAATTGGGTATTTTATTCCATATCTTGAGAGGTGGATTGCTTAGAAACATTTACTTATTAAATTTTAACAGGTGACCGTAAAGTCTTTCTTTTTCTATATGGACAAAATATTAATACTTTACGCTTGTATATATATTAAATTTTACCTCAAAGTAAAATTGCAGGATATCAATTTTAAAGGTAGATTTTCATTTACAAATACTTACGTCTCTAATGAGAGAAACTATTTTAGGTTTCACCTTAATGATAAACAAATCCCACTCTCCTGTTTGCAGTTTGAAATTCATATGTGTAAAATAACTCCTTCATTTCGTGACATATGTCCGTTAAATCAGTTATTTGTATTAGAAAAAAGTATGTTTTAGAATAAAAAAAAATCTTATAAAGCTTCTCAAACTGCAATTGACTGTCCTTGAACCGATAGTGTCTAAATCTATGATGAGAAAATTTGCATTCTACTTTTTTTATTGTGCACACTCTATTTTACTGTCCTGATCAACAAGTGAAGTGAGATTTCAGATTTTGGACTAACCAGGAAGCACACAATGCATATAAAAAGGTATAATGAGGTGGTTCTCAAGTCTATCTAAATTGTAAATCTTTCCAAATATACGTGATGCATCATGAAATAAATAGTCACAAACCCTTCTTAAAGTACAGATATACAAATATAGGAATGATTTCATTGTCACCTGCTCGTCAGGTAGAGAATTTGATACATTTCTTCCTGTTACATATATTTTATTATAGTTACCTACATGTATAGATATTGATGGTGATAACACATGAAAGTGTATACATGTAATATACATACGATAAAGTTAGGGACTAATACTAAGTAAACACCAAGTGAAGGCTCTACTAGTACGATAGTTAGGGATTTTTATGGAGAAAGTGATCAATTTTACAATATGAACTTGTAATGATGATTTACAGGTTAGCTATGTGACCTAAGCTTCCTTGTGGTTTGAATAAGTCTTGAAAATTTTACAAAGATGGGTGCGTGTAAAGGATGCAGCCAATTTTTCCTCACAATCGTCAACATCGTTTTCTCAGTAAGTCAACAACCAAAATTCTCTTATAATTTTAAGCTTTCAAGTCAACAACTTATCTATTCTTCTTATTTATTTATTTTTTTGGCACTTCAGCTGTTAAAACGTCAATCTTTCAACTTTTTTCCCAACCACTTGCATTGTATCATATATTTTCAGTTGATTGGGATAACCTTGTTAGTGGTGGGGTCAGTTGTAAGATGGGGTGACGATTTCATGAACAATATCCTCCAGGATTCCTACAGTAGACTGGCCTCGGCCTTAAAGGATGCTGGGGCTGATGCCAATCTCAACGACTTCAACATCGCTGACTTCGTTGGAGACGCCACATTGGCCTTCATAATTCTTGGCGCCTTTTTCTTTGTCCTTGGTATTCTTGGTTGTGTAGGCGCTTGTTGCCAAGTGAAATGTATGCTTGTAGTAGTAAGTATTTCATTTTGAATTTTTGAAATATCTCTACAAAATACATCAATCAAATGGCCTTATTAATCATTTTTGTATATTACTACTTTTTTTTTTTTAATTTCGAAGGGAAATTTTGCAATGTCTTCGATAAGATGCAAATGATTATAATCTCAATTGTCCAGATTTTAATTTGGTTATGATAATACATGTATTAGTAGACAGTATAGTTATTGGTATATTAAAAATTGTTCTTTGGACGTTAAAATTTATATTTTTCTTAAAGAAATGAATCGAAAGGAAAGGGTGGATAACCCTTGTCTTCTTCATATTTATCAATATTGCATAACTTTATCATTAACTCATTGCACTTTGTCTTTTAGTACGTGGTATTCCTTGTAATTTTATTGTTGGTAGAAATCACATTTATCATACTGATTTTTGCTGTTCGCAGTGAGGTAAGATATCAACACGTCTTTCAATATTTCACCAAAGTAATTGATTATTTTTAATTTATCCTCAGTATGCATTTGACTTGGTTTCACATTGTCATGTTAGGTTGACAGTTGGATAAAGAAACCGTTCAAAAAAGCAATAAAGGAGGAATACAAAGGAATTCATTCAAAAGAATCCATCTCTATAGCGATCAACTTTGTGTCTGTAGAGGTAAACTAGAGTTAATTAAATACAAAATATACTCTTTTAGGCAATTTTACTTAATGAACAATGATAAATGACAGAACATACTAATCCCGATTTATTTATTTTTAATTATTTTTAAGTTTGAATGTTGTGGAGTTGACAATTATTCAGACTTCAATTCGTCTACGTTATGGAGGAATGAGACTGTAAATGAAACAAACCCCCTAATTCCAGTGATTTGTTGTAAAAATAGAACAAGTGACGCCATAAAAAGCTGTGTGGAAAATCCAAACCAAAACAATTCTTATGCATATCAGGTAGTGTTTCTATAGTTGACCTATTGTTTCTTAAGAAATTGACAATTAAACTTATTGTAATTTTTTATTTGGTTAGAATTCATTGTGAATAAAAAAAAAATCAGAATGAAAATTAAATAATTTTTAGGGCTGCTATAATGCAATAGACAACTGGCTTATAAAGAACCAAAACATTATGATTGGCGTTGGAGCTGCTGTTTTGGCGGTTGAGGTATATATATATATATATATATATATATATATATATATATATATATATATATATATATATATATATATATATATATATATATATATACGAAAGTAGTTGTAAAACATTAGCGCTTTCATTTTAAATCATTTTTAAAACATTATGATAATGACGTTAATTGCTTCATTAACAATTTATTATTCACATATATGTGTATATATAGACTTAGAAGTAAAACTGAGAAGATGATAAATTGGCGCAAAGTAAAATACATCCATCCTCAAATTATATGCTAGTAACTATCAGCTCTGATAAAACAATAATTGTACGTAAAATATATGTTTTTAGCTGTTGTTGATGATTTTCGCCCTGGTTGTGTGTAAATCAGGAGAGAAGGACGATGAAGAAGACTGACCATAATATAGATGTAGGTGAGACGACCATTAGATATAGCGGGCTTTATAAACCAATCTACAAATTTTAGTCACACAATCCTATCCTGAAGCTCAGCTTAGTTCTTCAGCATTTATAATTGTTTTAATCCAGTGATCTTACGTTCTACTACTCTTCACACCTATATATAATTCATAAATTTGTACATAGAATTTTACATGCCTATTTTTTTTTCCTGTGTTACTAGCTGCTGTTAGCAGTACTAGTAATTTAATCGATGAAAGGAAAATAAATATTAATCTAGGTTTTACACTTTGTACTTAAGCATTCTTACAAAACCTTAAAGCCCTCTACTTCCCAGAATACAGAAATATTGGAAAATATTTTTTGTGTACGATTCATGCAGGAACACATCTCTGTCGAAGCCCTTAAAGGTTAAGGTAAAATAAATATATGAAGATTGACCTTTATCTTTGTTTTATTGCTTTAGTCCATGTCGCCTCTATTTCAGTGTGCTATAACATTACATGTATATTTAAATATATTTAAAATAAATTTTATACCCACTGATCATTTCAGTATTACTGTTTTTTTTAATATTGTTTGTTCAATTGTTGAAAAGAAATCGATAACATTGCATTGTACACAATCAGTTATTGCATGTAGATTGTAAAATGCTTTTGAAATTATCTTAGCATACGTATATTTTAAAAATGTGTAAAAAGACTAATATTAAATTTAACCATTAAAATGTTTTTCGTTCTGATTATGACATCAGGAGGAAAGAAAGATGATAATTGTGAGTAATTAAGATCAGTAAGATCTCTTTCTCCTAGCTACTGATTCTTTTACATCTATAATGTGTACGTTGCCAATTCTGTATTCATGTGTAATTACATGTATATTCAGTGTCACCAATAATCTTAATTAATATCTTTATCTATTAATGTTTGTTTTATAATGTGTGTTCTATCACTTCAATAAGTTGACAAAATGCATGTTTGCTCATGTATGACTGTATTTTGTTATTATTCCTTATCAAATGAATAAAATATAATTTGTTCTTAGTTTTATTTTATAAACTTCGAAATATTTTTTAGAGTAAACCAAGAGGAAACAATTTCTACTGATAACCAAAACTTAAGTCACTCTTACACCAAAAACTGTAAAACCAAAGTTTCAGAAAAGTAAAAAAAAAAAATAAATAAATAAACAAATTGATGATATGCTACTCAGACAAACGATCTATGAGGACAAACTAATACTTATAGATTGTGAGTATTTAGACAAATGAATCACAACATAGACTTTCAAACAGAATATAAACATGGAGATTAATAAACCCTGCCAGAGGAAATAGCTTGCCTTTTTCCCAGGTTAAATATTCTCGTGTCATAATTCTTTTTTTTCAAGTAAGAAAAGTTTGTGTGATGCTAAAATTTAAATCTGTTTTTTTTTTTTAAGTTTCAAATAGCCTTTGCAATCCACCCAACGTGCCAATATCTTCAAGACATGATTGACGCGCGGTGTTACAACGCACTTTGAAAAATTACGCACTTGAAAAAAAGATTCAAAGTGCGTTAATTTTGGGACCACGTTAACGCACTTTGAAAAATTTTATTTTTTTTTTTCAAAGTGCGTTAATATCGACCATATTAACGCACTTTGAAAAAAAAAATGTGCACGGCTTGGTCAATATTCTTGCAAATTTTAGGTATGATAAATAATTATTTGAACCTGATAATTATCTGAGATATACACGCTTTAAAGATTTTTAGGGGTTGTTTTCGTAAATTTTGTAAAAGGGAAATTGGTCTTTAAGAAATGATTGTTTAATAGCATAAATTCTTTCCTTTTTTATTTTAATTCAGTCTGTAATAAGTTCGGTGGATGTGACTTAAATGGAAAAAGGAGCAATTATGATTTTTCTCTACCATGAAAATTCTCTCTCTCTCTCTCTCTATGCTGCCTTGATTTATAGAATATGCTTTTTAGAAAGAATGCTCCGCTTTGCGGTGCCCTTGTAAAAGTTCCAGTCAAGTGAGTATTGTGGCTAATCTTTTATTTTATTACTATCAAATTAATCAGTCTATGTTCATATTGAATTTGATAGAGATCTCGATGCAAATTACGTCACTTCCGTTTCGCACAGGAAAAACTAACAAACACACTTACACACAAAATCGCGTACTATGTCCCCTCAAACATTGCGAGGGGTTAATAATGTTGTCTATTACTAAAATTTAAGTCCAAAATTTTTGTTTTATACACATTTTTTCAAAGTGCGTTAAGTGTGTACATGGTAAGAAATTATTATGTACACTCTTAACGCACTTTGAAAAAAAATTTCAAAGTGCGTTGATTTGGTCTCAAATTCAACGCACTTTGAAAAAAATTTTCAAAGTGCGTAATTTTTTCAAAGTGCGTTGCCACAGCGCGGCGTGTTTAGTTAACTGGTAACATGTACATATCATCCACTTCGTATGGTTTTCCTGTGGTAGGCAAATCTGAAAACAAAACAGAGTAAGGGAATGTTATCACAGATATATTGTGTCAAGTGTAATGATGCATTTTACGAATCCATCACACATGCAACATAATTCATCTAATTAAAACCTATTCACATTCATTTCTCTCTATGGCTAATACGAATATTATTTCAAACAGGATTCCAATATAGTATTGTTAAGGTATTGCCACACTGTACATACCTGGAGGCAGGTTCTCTATGGCTGTATATACCTCAGAATGTACACTCTCAACTCTCCTTCTCATCTCTAGATCTGTATACTGATTGCTACAATGGCAACCAACCAAAAAGGGTCTTACATCAATTAAAACAGCATTACAACAAAGACATCAATAGTTAAAATGAGTACTGGTGTCCTTATTTTCCAACACTCAATCAAAATGGAAGGGTATAAATTTTGACAAGTAAAGATGAATGTGAAAAATACTTTACCCCGCACTGGCCTTGATTTTTCCAACTACAACAAAGATTATTTAAATTTTCAAAGAACATTTAACATTTCACAGTATCTTTTTTAGTTCTTAAACTTATTCATTGTTTTAAAAAAAGCCGTGTTTTTAATATACAAATTCAATTTAGTTCATTTTTTTCTTACTGAATGCATAGGAATATTTTCTTGCTTTAACGAGGCCTTCGATATTTAATAGAATAAGTCTGTTTTAATCATGGTTTTACATATACTTCATAAACTACCTTCGTTGGTCTTTTTGGCCTTAAAATATGTAACAACAGCCATCGTTAGTAAGACTATTCCCACAAACATGACAGTCATGGCGATTCCTAGGACAACCATGGTACCTAAGACAAAGATGCCGATATAAAAATCCTGTAAAATCCCCTCCACACAAATAACATAGATTGATACTTCTGGAGAATAAAAGAGTGCTATGTCACTCTGTGTGTGTTCAAAGATTACTAGTTCAAGGTATTTCTATTCTTATTTTCTACGCACTGTCATCTGAGGACTTTTCTATCTGGATGGCCCGATTTTCTTCAGCATTGACTCCAACATGAGTTTCGTCTTCTCCTAAATTATAAAGATGACACCAATAATGAGATAATAATAATAAAGATTAATGACAAACTGATTAGAATTAAATATTACTATGAAAACTAGGGATTACATTTTCAGATTTTATTCTTATGTTACACAACTCACTTTCAGTTTAGAACATTTGTCACCTCAAAGAAAGTCTGCATCTCATTCATTTGATTTAACATGTTCAAAATTGTTTCTTTATACACAAGAAATCGTTAATTATTTGTTTACAAGGATGTTAGACATTTCAATTTCATTATTTTATTTGATATACAACTCTACACTCTCCGAGATTCAGCAGTAGTTTACCTATGTATAAAACAATTTCTCTCTCATTTTTCGATTGAGACTCTGACATAGCAAGTGACGCCACGAGTTTATCCGGATTAGAGATTGGTGGACTGGGCGGGACTGTCCCACATTCCTCATCGGAAACAGAACACGACAAAATTGTTCCATTATCGCTATCTCTTATTGGAAAAAGTAGAATATCTGAGCTGGAATAAAGACAAGCTTGTGCCGAAATAGAGGTGTTTGCTGGGAATTTCCGCTGAACTGAAACAAAATCAAAAGTCTGGAAATTAGAAGAGGTGGGTCGCTTGATGCACCAGCGTAGTTTTGGGGCGGGGAACCCCAGAGCGGCCACACATTTGAAAAGACCAACACTCCCTAAAGGGTAAGCCGTCTGTGTTGTATACTGGAGGTCCCTGATGGCGGCTAGTACTGCTAGCTGACTGATGTCCATGTTCTGAGCACCACTTACATACGTAGTACTTATAGGATAGACGCCAGGACTCTTACCTAAAATTATAGGAAACAGTTTTTTTTCTTGCTTTAAAAGAGACAATCCCGTTAAGTTCTTTCAAAGTAGAATGTTGTGAAGAATTTGTTTTTTGCGATTTGAGGCTGTATTTGTAATTTGATGGGAACATACGATACCTCCATGTAGTCAATGATATAAAAACAGCATCATCATTATTTTTCTTCACAATACGTGTTATCTACAAAACTAAGAGATGAGTTTCAATTACTGTTTACAATGGATGTTCTCATTTTGACCGCCTCATTTCCTGTCGTAGCTTCGTCACGAACGACACATTTATACAGGCCCTGGTCCGTACAATCCACATCATCCAGACGTAACCGGAACATGGAAGTCTCGGGAGGCCCCAGGGTTGACGTCACCTTCCCCTTTTGTTCCAAAGATCTGTCGAACCATTCCACATTTGTTGAAGTTGTCGTGGAAGCATAAGAGGCTTTGACTATTAACTTCATTTCCTCGTTTTCTCGCTGTCTGTATATTTGTACACTGGACACAACACTAAAGTATGTCTTACCAGCGTCATTGGGTTTACATGTTATATAAACAGTTTCACCGTAAGTTATTTCTTCAGGGATCCAGAAGCTCAGATAATTCGTCTGTCCTGTGACTAAAAATAGTAAAAATCAAATATTTATAATTTGATTTTTTTTTTACCAGAATTAGAAAATCTTACAATACTATGATGTCCCTTCATAAATATACCAGTCTGACAATACAGCTAACACCCCCTCCCTCCACTACGTTCGCCTTACGAACGTAGCTGAGAGAGGCGTGACTGTACTTGTAGCTATACTAAAGTGTATACCCATTAAAAGTTAAGTGTAACTAGTGGGGTAAGTATAAGAGATATTTTTCTCCCCCCTTTGTTTTATATAAATATTTCTTTACTAGTAGTATACACGACCGAGTATTGTACATATATTCATCTGTTATTTTATTTTATTTATTTATTTATTTATTTATTTATTTGAAATTTCATGAACAAACATCTCTACCACGACAAAAAATTATAAAATTTCGACATTTTGATGTACTTACTGCCTATTCCGAATTCTTTTCTTTCTTTTATTTTATTTCATATTCTTGGAAAAAAAAAGATTGACTCACCTTGATTAAAAAGAAAGCAGAGCAGTAGACACGAAATATATGACTCTCCCATATTTGATCACTGACTTAAATTATTAGTCCCTTCTTTTTCTTTTTCAATGAAATACTGAATTTGATCATTATCAGATACCCGGATATATATTCAGGAAACCGCACGTGCAGTGAAATATTACAAGTACAATTTTGAGTCATGCAGCTGTGTAATAATAACTTTGGAGACTGTTGCATGATATTACACGAAAAAGACACTGCAATTTATAACATATTCACGGTTCAAACAACTAGCACACATTTAGAAGTGACACGTTTGATCTCGTATGGTAATACTGAATATTTCTTCATTAAAATCATAATTTTTTTCAGTCTTCATTTTATTTCTCTGTCCTAATTCATGATTTTTTTTTTATATGAGGTCGAATTTCATAATCTTCAGTGTGTCTTTGTTTGCTATTTTAATTGCAAGCATCCTTGAGGCTTGAAGAAGAACAAAATACACTGTATACACTTCACAAAATCCTCAATACAATTTGACTCGAGTGAGGATTGCGGCAGATCTGCGAACTGACCATTATTGTTCTGGATTAAAGGCCCTCGATTTTGCTCTATGTATCACACTTCTGTTTTGCTATAAGTATATTACAATGCCCAGTATAAATAAACTTTATTTAAAAAAATTATCCAACAAAATAAAAATACAACACTGACAAATCTTTCAGCGACCTGAGGGTTTACGTATAGGAGTTTATAGTCGGCCCGGAACTTCTGTGTCCAACTTCTGAATATACTCTGTAATCTGCATTGACGTAGTTAACTGAATCTAAAAAAAATAACTAAATTGTTCAGCAAAGATGTAGTAGTAAATGGAATAAACACTCCTTTTATTCCCGTTATGTCTTTAATAGAACATGAGACGGAAAGAATATATAAAGTGCATTTTCTTTTCCTTTAATTTTATGCTCAATACAAATATAATGCATGTTATAATGTTAGCATCAGAAACTTGCCTTCTGGATCTTTATGACCGAGAGTTTCATAGGTGACTGGATCCGTTCCCCCGGACATCTCATTTAATGTCTGATATCGCTCCCTAAAAAAGTATTGTTTTATTAATTTATTATTTATTTATTTATTTATTTATTTATTATTTGTCCATCTTTTTGGCATAAATCTTTTACAAAAGTAGTAGTAACAATTAGTATTTATACCTTACTAAAACATCATTTAAAGTTTTCAGGACAAGCACTAGAAAAACGTACCAGTGTATGACACACCAAATCCAACAAAAATGAGCCAAATGAAATATGAAGATAAGGAACAGTATTCAATCTCGAAAGTCCAATGAAACGATACATATTTGGAGCAGAGCAAACACGGACCTCAAAATTTAGAGGTGGGATCAGGTGCCATGGAGGAGTGAGCATCCCCTGCCGACCTGTCACACCCGCCGTGTGCTCCTAGTCATGATCGCGATAAAAACCGGAAAAATCCTTAGACATTTCAGTGTACAATTAGTATGAAAAACATCAGTCTATATTTTACCGTTGATAATCTAGGTTTATCAATTGTTAACTACATTAAGCTATATTTAACATCTCTTAACCATACTTGGATTAAATTATGGTTAATGATTCAAACTATAGTTTTTACACGTGATAAATTTAGTTTAACAATTCTAAATGAGTGTGAAATATACTTGTAGTTCAAATGATTATGTTACTCAAACAAAAACTATCATTAGCGTTTATTCGCAGGCAAATAAACTTCGTTTAGCATTTGCAAACTTCAGTTTAAAACCATTAAATATGATTTTACAGATGAAACTATATTTACAAATTGTGTATATATAGTATTCGCTTCGTGAATTATAGTTTATATTTGATAAACCTTGTTTACCAACTTCCTAACTACGTTTAGCTCCTTTTTGTGAATTTGGCTTGTTATGCCCAGTGTTTAAGACCATCCTGACATTTACAATGTCTTGTAATTCAAACTTAAATATATATTTCTTGTATCAATATATTTGGGAAGAATAAAAAAAAAAAAGACGGAAAGATAGGATTTTACACGAAATGTTTCTATACATGTACGAGGGCCGTTCAATAAATAATGCAATATACGATCTAAAAATAAGAAAAGCACAGAAGTAGTTTCTTTATATTTTTTATTCCCTCATTGTATTTCCTTGTTTAACTTTACGCAAGTCTTCGTACTCATTATGAAAAAAACCCCTCAGCATACGCTTCTTTAGGTGCTCAAACGACACTGATGAATAGCACTCTCGATGGCATGCCTAAAATTGTAAATTTTCCTTTGTTTTCTTGAGTTTTTGGAATAAAAAGATGTCACAATATATAAATAGTGCACGTTTTTGAGGGTAACAGTTGAAATTGACACCCCAAGGAAAACCATTGTCAACCGACGCGTCAGCGGAGGTTGACAATGGTTTTCCGAGGGGTGTCAATTTCAACTGTTACCCTCAAAAACGTGCACTATTTATTTTATTATACTGAATGTCTTATTGATTTCGGATGTCATTAAAAAATTCGGAGATCGTCGTTAACTTCACGCTTAGAAAGCTTTCAAACTCCCAACTTCTATTTTTCTCAATAGGAAAGCTTCGTAAATAATTTACCAACCTCTTTATTATTTGTTTGCTACTCAAAAAGTCCTTTATCACCTAAAGTTTGCACTCGCAAGGATGTTTCGTCTGTCGTTTGTCTTTTTCAAGTAAGCCACATCGGACGCAAGCTTTTATTGACGTCGTTTGTTCGGCTTCTTTCAAACGCACAACCGACGTTTTGAGAATTCTACGGTGAACCGTACGCGCATGATTTGAACGCATGTGATATTTTCGTAATGTTACCCGTTGTCAAGTGTGTTGCTAACGCTGAGGGTAATATTACGGATTGTTAAATGTGTCTAAACCAATCAGATTTTAGTATTTAACATGAAAGTATAATAATGACTAAGATCTAGCGAATATGGAGTATGACTAAGCTCTGTAAACATTCTTTTCTTCAAAATTCTTTTACATTCGATGCTTATTTGCAGCAGCGTTATCAGACACAAGAAAATTAACTCGGGGACCGGCATTTGGACTTCCCTCACAGAAAAGCTGCTGAACTTTCCTCAATGCAGTTCTAGTATAAAACTACCATTGATGGTCCTTTCTTGGGGTGTAGGTTCGTGTAATACTCTTCACTAAAGAGAAAACCTGTATGAGACATGTTTTGAACTTTGACCTCTTTGCAATAATAAGACGATAGTTTTCTCTCCGATTCCACTTTTTATATTGTTCTTCCTTCCTTTATTTTTTTTTTTTGTGTCCCTAATTATTATGATCGACCACCTCAACTGCGATCTTGATACACTCCCTTTTTATTTTTTAATCCATCTGAACACTGTGCAGCATGAAAGGCTTGTCTTTCCAGATATTAAAATCACATCTTTCATCTTTGGTTCTTCAGCGATTTTTGTAATGAAGTGCAGTTTTTACATACGCTCTCATTTTCATCTTCTTAGCAGAGACCATTTTTGAACAGTTTTCAGTTAATGTAGTGACCATGCTTACTTTAAAGTGAATTTCTTTCCGATGACTGTAGGAAAAACCATGCGGTTTTCGGTGATTCTGAGTTCTTATACAGTACTCCTAGACTGTGAAAAAATTTAATTAAATGCTTCTACATTTTTTACGATAAACCGAAGGTTGCATTACTTTTTGAACGACCCTCGTGCATGCAAATTGAATGATGGCATTTTACAGGACATCGTTTAGATACATGCATATTTATAGCAATATAGGGAAAAAGGAACAAGAATTTGATAGTTTCATCCTTATAAGAGACGTCTTAGAAAGCAAGAGAGGGTTAAGAGATTAGATAATAAATAATTGAAACATAGATACCTTTCTTTTAATGTTTCATATTCTGAAAATGAAGAATGATTTCGATACAACACTGATAGAGGAAATGTACATTTCTTTTTCATTTTAAATTTTTTTATTAACAAAATTTCGGACTACACGATCTAATTTTGCTGTCATATAGTAAAGCTTTTCTTATAGAAAGTCTTGGCTACGAAGTTAAGAAGAAGGAACGTTTTGATATTAATTCAGAATTGTGTGCTGAAAAACACAGGATGATCAATCTCATAGAGAGCTCGACTTCACCTCGCCATCTATGTGAGATATATTTCCGAAGACAGTCAGTAACAAACCAACATGCCACCCAGATGGTAACCACGGTATTGATTGAACCTATATTGAACTTAATTGAACCTTACTCACTTCGAAAGAAGGAAATCATCATCCATTGATCAACAATACGAAGATATTAATTATATGGTGCATGTTGAAAACAACCAAATTAATACTTAACTCATTAACCGATTACAATGGATAATGAAGCATTTCTTCAATTACCTATTTTGATTTTTCTTGCTTTGGTATATGTAAAAATAGCTAGTGCCGTGCCGCAGCCCCCGATTATAATGAGTACTATTCCTGCAGTTACTAAAGCTGTAATACCTAAAGAAAACATTCACATCAGTAACGGAAGTGACATTGCACACAGGAATTTTAAATTTAAATCTTTACGTTTTGATGCAAATTTGATACAAAAACAAACGGGTGTTTATAGGGACGACTGAAGTAATGGAGTATTTTACAAATGATTTCATATACTGCTCATACTGTATACCTATTCTTGATGAGTGTGAATCTGCTACAATAACCTCGGCTAAATCGTCTTCATTTGATCCACCAGCAGAATTCTCTGTGTCTGAAATAGTATCAAACGTTCTGAATTTTATATTTACTGGATGAGAGAAGATGTAAATACAAAATTTTGTTTTTACACTCATCCAGTAAATTCAAAATTTTGAAAATGACAAAGCATCGAAAATAAGAAACGTGTTTTAGTGCTGCGTTGTGTCTTTGAGTAGAATCAACTTTTTTCATTGATTAATAAGTTAAGTAAAATAATTGACTTTGAAACATCAAGCTACGTTATGCACAAAATGTTTACTAAGTGATATGATATTCTCTTAGATTAAAAGCAGTACGTTGCCATAATACTGTTGATAGTATAAGATTGAAACCTCTTCTTATTCATTGATAAAACATGTTACGGTAAAAAGAAATGAAAATGGCCTATACCAGTCGTTACTATGACGTAGATTGATACTGTGCTGGACCTCGCTGTTATGGGGCACTCCGTGGTGTCTGTAGAACAGGACAGTGACGTTCCGTTATCCTCGGCCGTTATCGTAAATGGAAGAAGACTAGTCTTTGTAAAGAAACAAGAACGTCTCGGAAATGAGGCATTTACCATGTCCAGGCGCTGGACAGAGGCAAAGGCGAAGTTAGAAAATGCTCCTTCAGTTTGTCTTCTTATACACCAACGTATCGTAGGTGGGGGAAAAGACTCTCTGGCTGTGCAGTTAAAGATAGTGATAGAACCAATGGGTAATCCTCCAGATTGAGTGGACCCAGCATTCTGGAGGGCGGCTGATATAATTCCTAGGTTGTTGTTGGACATTTCCTCTCGTTGAACAGAGGTTGCAGTGATTGGGAAAACGCCAATGGGATTTTCTGGAGGAAAACTTTCTCATATATGCTTTCTCTTTCAAAACTACTGTAAATTTTTGAATATATAAAAATTTATATAAATTCCATTAATAGTTTCCCTTGCAAACTTACCGATATCACTGGCTCCATTTAACCTTACGGTAGGACTAATAAGATTAATTATAATATCATTGCACGCATGCGTACGTACGAATTATTGTGACGTGTCTGGATCTCTGTGTTGGCTCTTCATTGTTTTCATCCAATATGGCACATGTATATTCGGCATCATCTGTACAGTCCGCTTCAGAAATTTGGACTCGAGCAAAGGAAACATTCGGGAAGCCCAAACTGCCTTGTATCCTTCCTCGTTCCTGTACTAATTCGTCCCCCCATTTTATATCTTGTTCACCATTCCGTCCGATACTAATCCTAACTAATGGTTCGGCATCTTCATTTCTTCTTTCAATGGTGAATTCGTAAGCATGAATAAACCCAAATCTGTCTTCTTTTGGGTTTGGTCGACAATGCAGAACCAAGGTACTACCAGCATTCAATCTGGATGGGGCAGAAAAGGCGACACTGCTATTCTGTAACGTACCTGTAAACAAACAACGAATGGCATCAGTTCAGAGAGCAGGATTTAAAATAATTCATTTTGAGTCAGCAAGCCCCGATTGAGTTTCCAAAATCAGTTTATTTATTTATTTTATAATAGTGAATTCGTGTGTCTGGTCTGCAAGTTTGTGCATTTCTGAGAAGGGGAAGAAAGGCTTGACATACAAGTTATATTTTCCTTCTTAGAAGCAATTACAGTGACTCTAAAAACTGCAAAATATGTCTTTTATGGGAAACGAGAAATTAAGTTAATCAAGATGTAGGTTGGGGACTTCGGCAGCTCTAGTCATACATGAAGGCAAAACAATATTTGTTAATCCTTAAATTACCAAATCATTTTCAATACAAGTATCTTGAAATATACGTAACGAAATTAGAGAACATTTCTTTCATGAAGCATTTTTAACGAACTTTAAAATAGCCACAATATATATGCAAAATTAGCAGACCATGGCCCTTTAATATTTTGTACATTTTCCTTCTTTAACAAGTCTACTTCAGTAGTTAACAGTAATGACTAACCGTGTTTTTGGATGGATTGTGTGTGTGTGTTGAAAAACAGGAACAAATGGAAAGTTGTTAATGCCACTGTCATGCTAAGTACTACTTTTTTAAAGCCATAAAAAAAAACAAAAAAAAAAAAAAAAAAAAAACGACCAGAAATATAAATTATCTTAAAGTTAACATTTGTAATTACAGCAACCAAGAACTGCTCATTAAAAATGACTCTCTTCAAATTTTGTACCTTCGTTCCTGTATCATTTTTCAGTAAGAATAATTACTCGCTTTTACTAAGTTAACCAGTTTAACAGTATCTCTTTGGTTGTACTTAAGAATATAAGGATTAGAACACAACAAATTCTTTTGGATAATAAATCAAATTTATTTATTAGCCATCACTTTGTGTGGTCATCTTACATTGTTCAAGATGCTCCATCAACAAATTATGATTCAGTATACTATCCTGTAATACTTGTACTGATACTAAAGTGCATATGTAAGTAATAATGCCGCCGTATTTATTGGTAAGAGACCTGATAATGAATGTTTTCATCCATTGACCGTGAGATAACAATGCTCTAGTTACCTTGATTTCTGCCACGAACTGTGCATTAAGGAAACACGGAAACCACATTCAAATAAATAAGAAAATAGGTTTGATTTATAATTTAAAAATGCTTCTTGAATTGAATATATACTTATATGTTACACTTTTTTAATAAAAACAAATTATAGACAAGGAAATTCATCTTCGTGTGGGCTTGGTTAAGTAAAGTCTGAATCACAAAGATATTATATGCAAAATATAAGTACTTCATCCTGTAAAAGAAGGGTTAGACAAGAGTGTATATATCTTTTATCTCTGTGTCAAACACTTAAAGAATTCTTTTAATCATATACGAAAAATCCTAAAATATAAGAAAGTAAGAGTATACTTATTCATGTCAACTATATATACAGAAAGAAAACTGTTAACATCTGCCGATGTAAAGAAAACTTACTTGGTAGAATACACGCTATAATAAAACTTACTTGGTAAAATACACGCTATAATAAAACTTACTTGGTAAAATACACGCTATAATAAAACTTACTTGGTAGAATACACGCTATAATAAAACTTACTTGGTAGAATACACGCTATAATAAAACTTACTTGGTAGAATACACGCTATAATAAAACTTACTTGGTAGAATACACGCTATAATAAAAATCCAAACAGTAACTTCTGTGTCCATGATGAGACAATACAATCAGGTCCCGTAACACCACGCATCAGACTGCCCGGATGTTAGTCACTGACACACCGGACATGCAATGATGTACTCACAAACACAGTACCCATTTCCTCCAAAGTATCAATTAAAGTGATTCTCCTTTTATGTTTTATAACATGTCATTATCTAAACAAGATTTAAGTTAACGTACATCTTCAACAACTGACTCATAGAATTCTGTATTTCTTGTCCATTGATCTGAAAAGTGGACTCCCTGGACTAGTTATTCTCCAATGAAAAGTAAAAGATGAAGTATAATCTGTTACTTAATTACTGTCTTTCCTATTTTGTACCTGGTAGCCTTTTTACCTGTGCTTTTATTTAATTGACTGTTCTGAAACAGGTCAATGGTAAAGCACTGCTCTGTCAAATCGAATTACGGTGACAGTAACAGTGTAAAAGATTGTTCCAAGAAATGGTGTCCCTATTTTATTTATTTTTTAAACAAACATTATAAAACATCATATATATATATATATATATATATATATATATATATATATATATATATATATCTATATATATCTATATATATCTATATCTATATATATATATATATATATATATATATATATATATAATAATAATAATAATAATAATAATAGATATCAGTATAAGGAAACGGGGGATACGCCACCTAATTTGACAGCATTTACTATTCAGCAGAAACCAATGCTAATTTACGATTGTGCCTCCTCAATAATACTTTCTTATGAATAATTTATTTTCTATTTTTACTGAAAGTTAATATACATTGTACTTCAAAGCTATATATGGCGTATCTGAGTTAAAAAATAAAAATACGAGATTTAGTGTAGATAAACATGTTATATGTTATTTTGCTATCTGTTTTGTCTGTCCTCGTGCGTCGTCCGTTAACATTTGAACATTTTCAGCTTCTTCTCTAAAATCGCTGAACCAATCTCATCCAGTTTCGGCATAGACATCTAAGAGTAACGGGGAACAAATTTTTTGAATGTCATGGTTCCTGCGCCCTGAGTCCTGCGGGATGGGGCTAAATCATCAAAATCATCAAAATTAATACAGTCTTTATAAATCTTCTTCTTTATTCCTGGACATCAAGCAGTTGAACTGTTGACATGGTTGTAATAAGTACTGAGCCCTCTACCAAAATTGTGAAATTCATGGCCCTAGGAACGGGTTCTGAAGTTAGGGTGGGATTCTAATGATGAAATAGTGAAAATGCATAAATTCCCCCTGCATATTAAGCAGATAAACTAGGTGCATGGTTATGATAGTGTCTCTTCCAAAATCGTGAAAATCTGTGGCCCCCAGGGTCAGGGGATCTGGTTGGGGGGGGGGGGGGGCTCTGTTGAATATAAAGTGAAAATCCCTTATTACTTTGAAAAGCTTCTTCTCTGCTCCTTGACATTAAGCAAACAAATAAGTACATAGTTATGAGGAACAGGGATGCCTCTTTAAGAATTAAGAATTTCATGGCTCTTTGGACAGGGGTTCGGGGTGGGGGTGGGCTCTACTAATTATATAGCGAAAATGCATTATTTCTTTGAAAATCTTCTACTCTTCTTCTACTCCTCGGAAAAATAAGTGTAAAGGCGGGCTCTATAGATCAGATAGTAAAATGCATAAATTATTTAAATATCTTCTTATCTGATGTCCCTTGGAATTTAGCAGACAAATTAATTGCATGTAATGATGAACAAGGATGCCTCTTAAAAAATTATGAAATTCCCTACTCCTGGGTTGGGGGCTTTGGTATTAGCTTAGGGTTGGGTTCTGTTGAATGTATAGTGAAAATGAATTATTTCTTTGAAAATCTTCTTTGTCCCTGGGTATTTAGCAAACATACTGAATGCATGGTTATGATGTGCAATATTACGCATTACGATATGCAATATTACGGTGGGCCTGTGTTGAAGCTATACTGTAAATGCATTATTTCCTTGAAAATCTTCTCTGCTACTAGGCAACTAGGAGGCAAACAGAGTACAAATTTGTGGTAAGCAAGGGTATCTTTGCCCGATTTTTGAAAATCGGGACCACTTGTTTTAAGTGATCTGTTGCTATTAATTTGTATTCTACTAAGAGAGTTATTCCCGTTTGTTATTCACCCATGCGCGGATCTAGAGCGGGGGTCGGGGGTCCGGAACCCCCCCCCCCCCTTGGAATTTGCAGAGTTTAAAAAAGTATATACTGAAGCAAATTAAAAAATGACTTGGACCCCCTTTAGAAAACGTGGACGCCACCATCACCATCACGAAATAGATCTTTTTCACGTTTGGGAAATGGATTTTAAGGGGCTTTTTTGTTTTTTTTTTGTTTTGTTTTTGTTTTTGTTTTTTTTTTTTTTTTGCTTGCTTGTCAAGAAATTTCTGGGTGGAATTTTTTTTTTAGACTGGGGGTTAACCCCCATGGAAAAAATTTCTGGATCCGCGCCTGTTCACCTATGTTAACTAAACACTGTAAATAATGTTATTGAAAGGCCAATTGAATGAGAGATTGTTATACAAGAAATTTTATAATATATATTAATCAAAAAATTCTTTCATTGTTTTCAATGGTCATGTAGACATGTAAATAATAGATAAATAAAAATGAGACCTAAATACTTAATATCCTTTATGTATTAAGAACCATTCTCTGTAATGACTTGAACTTTTATATAGGAGCTGTGGCACGCATAGTCTCAAGAATTTCTCCAAACTCTCTATGATAAAAGTCTTTGATACCGTAAACTCAAATCAGGCAAAAATTGGTTACTACGTGTCATGGTTACCATAGCAACATATCCCAAGGTTTGAAAAATGGCATTTTTCAACATGTTCAGAGTCCCACAGTTAACGTTTGCAGCAAAGCAAACAAGTGGCAATGACTGTATCTAAAAATTTGAGGCCTGATGTCTTAAATGCATGATAAACATGTTTGGTAAATCAACTATTACATACGTTACTATGGAAACAAAGTATTCAAAAGTAATAATTTTGTTCATTTAATTTCATAAAGTCATACACTTAAGAATAAAAACAATTACAGATTGAAATGCAAGCAAATAATAGACAAGAGATCCTAGTAACATATACCAAGGAGGAAATATGATATTTCTTAAAGGTTGGCAATGGTTGTCGTGGTTTTAACACCACAAAGGGATTTTAAATTTACTCTCTTAGTGTTTTAATCTTTTCCTATCTTTTTAAAAAGCATATTTCTATATAAATGATGATCAATTTTTAAAGGCGTTGGCGTGACCCTAATTTTCACATTTCAAAAAATTCAAATTCAACTCTTTAAGTAGAGCGTTGCTATGGAAATTAGCCGAAAAATATGCATAAAAATCTGAAAAATATTCTGTTTCCTTGGATACGTACCCTTGTATGTAGATTCCCAAAACTTTTATGATTGATATATATGAACAAACCTGACTTTCAATTTTGACTACCACCCAATCTCTAACTGGATGCAAAAAGCTGGCACATAGGGTTTAATATTGATATAAAATTAACAAAATCGAACATTTTCCCTTCTTAGTAACCATAGCAACAGTGTTGTATTTTTCAACAAACTTTATCAATATATGATATTCAACTTTAGTTCTACCAGATAAGTACTATTCAATGTGAGTCAAATAATATGTTTCTTGATTAAAAGGTAAGTAAATTCCTAAGGCAGCAAAAAAATATCACTTTTAACAACTGGTACGTTGGTTCCATGGTTACACTGCAAAGTAACAATTAATCCCAATTTTTCTTATGTTGTCGGTGTTGCAAGATCCTAAGGATGTATATGTTGCAGTCATGAATTTTATTGTTTTTCCTCAAGATAGTAGCAATAACCCAAACATAGCAACAGATTTTGCATGGTCACACTGTGTTACCATGGCAACCATGAAAGTTATTTTTAGAATAATATTGCCAATACCTAATTACTTAAGGTCAAATATTTTTTATTGTTTTTCTTAAGTTGTTGATTGAATTTGATCATGTAGCATCTATAATTTGTGAATATTGAGTGTTTTTCAGCATTTTTCAGCATCTTAAATGTATTCCAAATGTACCCATGGTTACCACTTACTAAGAGATAAATTCTAAATAGTTTCTTTATAGCATAAGTGGCAACAAGGTGTCATGTTTTTGGGAGAATGGTTTGTTTGTTTTTCTTTGTCTTTATTAAGGCGTAATAAAGATTCAAAGTAGCTGAAAATCTCAATTTTTTCAACTTTTCTGGCTGTTACCATGGCAACCAAGACACATAGCAACGAAATTTTATTTGATTTATGTTTCTGGTGTCAAGTTGTAATAATGGGCGAAGTTTCATCAAAATCGGTAACCATGCGTGGCAAAGAAGTTTAAGTGGTTACAGAGAATCGCTATTAAAGCGTAACTCTTAAAAAGCTTCTAAAAACAAAAAGAGCTCAATTCGATAAATTTCAATTATGAAATTTTTTGAAAACAATCGATACTATTTTAAAAATGATTGATATTATTTACGCTTATAACTGTCCCCAATTTACTTGTATTTACAAATATGTAACAGCTGTTTAATTATTCTTCATTAATTGATAGTTGCATTATATGAGATCTTACGGAATTGCAGGTTGAAACTTTACAATCTGGATCTGACATCTTTTAAAGTATGCCAATGCATGTTTGCCAAACAAAAAAATCCTTTGAACAATTAATGAATACCGGTTAAGCCTCACCCTGAGTTTTACTCGTGAGAACACTGAACACTGATATGTTAATAAATGAACTAACCAGATCCAATTTTTTACCTTGAATTTAAGATTACTATTAAATAGCAATTTTTTAAGAATAACCGATTTAAAAATATTTAGTCGGTAGTCGGTATGATGGAGCGATATTTGAGTACTCAAATATTTGTTGACATCCCTAGTTTTCACCCTTCATTGTGCACCTTACTCTCCTTGTGCCTTAACATTTGAACATTTTCAGCTTCTTCTCTGAAACCTCTGAACCAGTTTTGGCATATAGCATCTGTGGGTGAAGAGAAAGAAAAATTGTGAATGTCATGGTCCCTGCAGGTTCAGGGGTACTGGTGCTAGGAGGGGCTCTATTTGTCATTTAGTGAGATTGCATTAATTATTTGAAAAT